CAGTTTGGGAGAAACTCTCTCTGTAGTTCTTGGTAGTAAGCTTGCTGAGGCATTTTAAATCAGATGGTTTTCATGGAACTGAATCTTTTGCGTCACTTTGCTTTCTCCTAAATGTAACAGAATAATTTAGCTGTATTGGGAAACACTTTTTAATAGAGCAGGATGATGATAGAAATCAAACCCTAAAACGTTCCGTTCTCTGTAGGAAAAGAAACAAAGTAACAAACACAGATCTGTCACCAGTTTGTTCATAACGCCACTCTACAATGCTTAAGTAACCAAATTGATGCTCATGAGTGATTTTTTTCCCCTTTTATTCTTTGTTACATAAAGATTTTAGTATTTGAATGTCTGGATGCATGGTTAATCCAGAAAAGTGATTCTGCTGAAAGCTGAACAGAATCAACTTCCTGGCTACGCTGCCTTTCTGACTGTCTTTTTGTTATTTGTCCTAATGTTCTCCTTCATCTGTTGTCTTTATCTGCTTTTTCATCTGTATTCTCTCCCTCTTTTTCTCATTCTCTGGCTCTCTCCTCTTCTCTTTTTTCCTCTCTGCAGTGCACACTTTTCCAGAACACCTTTTCCCCCCGGCTCCCAGGAACCTAAATATAGAGACTGGTGCAGACAGCTCGGCCTTATAACAAATGGTAAGCAGAGCAAAGCACGGCACAGTGCAGCAGAGCAGCGGCAGCCTTCATAAGGATATACTGTGGCTTCACTTCACTAAACAACAAACCTCATGCAAACAGCAAACAAACCATATGCAGCACACTTTCAATTCAAACCCGGAAACAACAACCCTGAAGGAAATTTGATATTTAACACCGAGATAAGTGTTTTATATATGTGTGTGTATCTGTATAACAAGGTGGTTGTTGAAAACAGCTTCATCAGAAGTGAACAACAACTGGTGTCAAGTTTCACTCATCCATATGTACAGATGAGTGACACATTTAAGAACAATATGCAAATAATTGAAATGTTATAGCCTTTGTAACAATAAGATCTCAGCTCCGTTGAACACCTATGGAAGTTTTTCTAACAACGTGTTAGACAGGGTTCTTGTTGGGCTCCGCCTGAAAATTTCAAGCACAGGAATAAACACGACAACATGAGACACTGAAAAGAGCAAAGGTCATATGTGGCTCCCTGATCTGCAAACATTCGATAGTCTATTTCTGCTGCCTGTAGCTTTTCTACATGCAAGCCATGATCACCATGTGACTTCAAGTTATACACCTATAGCTGAAGCACAGATGGTTGTGAGGAACTAAAGGCCAAAGGTTCCAGCAACAGGTTTACATCGATAATTCATCTGTTACATGTCAGATATTTTTGTACACATTTTGTGTACGAATTATGCAAAATTATCTTAACAGCTTGGTAGGTGTATAGCTAACTACTCTAGCTACTTTCCTCCTTGGTTTCAGACTGGCTCCCAGGCTGGTGCTTGTTTTTACTATTTCGTGCTGCATTCTGTACTTCACTGATCTGATGAGCAGCCTGTAGGAGATCATCATATAAGGTTTGTCCAATGCACTTGTAGCTGCTCTTATCCTAACAATTTCCAGGGACTTCCAGACTTCTACTACCAGCAGGATTTTGGCTTGTCCAGGTAACTTCAGGGGTAACCCTGGGTTTTCAGTACTATGAAAGCATAGTACTAGGGATTTACTAGGGTAAATTGCCATGGTAACATGGTAACAAGTTCAACATACTCACACTCAATCTGGTCGTTAAGTCTGACGTCACTAGCCGTGTCTGGGCCTAAACTCCGCTGCAGGTCCATATATCAAACGATCACTATGGCATTACTGAGAGTTAAAAACTGTCTAAAGTCT